ACAAGATTGAGGTAAGGTTCAAATGAGGGAATGATGAGAAGTCTCTATTACCTATAAAATTCATGCAGAAATCATTGATTATGTATTGCTGTTGCCAGATTCCAGAAAATGACAGATTGCAGAGGTAAGTACCTGCTCCCTATAAAGAAGGCCAAGGATTATTAAAACAGTGCAATTAATTGTCACAAGATGAATCTTGGAGGAGCATAAAAGATTTGAGTATAAGTGCTTAGCTGATCCAGAAACTATTTAAAAAGAAGGTGATATTTAAGATAAGAAGCAGAGAAAGTTGGAGAGTATAGTCTAGGCATAAGTAGGGCAGGCATAAGCTCATAGAGGCGCATGGATATGGAACATTCAAGCAACTATACTTACTATTAAATTTCTTAAATGAAAGATATCTTAGGGGAGTCATAGGTGAGGCTAGAGAGGTTGGCAGAAAGCATATCTATAAACAAAGACTTTGAACTTTACCTTGGAAGAGACAAGAAGCTACTGAAGAATTTTAAGCAAAGTAGCTATATACAGGTTGTTTTTTAGAATTTCATCTTAGCAAGGAATGGAGAAGATGAATGAGAAGACTGTGAACCCGAAGACAAGAAAGTTATTAGGCAATCAATGGAGGTGAGGGGTAGTGAGGGCCCAAAGTAAGGAAGTGGCACTAGCAGGGGAAAGGAGGAGACAGAGGCAGGCTAGAATTCATAAGTCAGTGTCTTTCAAACTGAAGGCCCAACCCATTAGCAACTATGAAATCAAACCCTAGCCACTCAAACACCAGGCAGGCAGTGAAATCAATCTAATAGATAACAACCACATTTCATGAAAAAACTGAAAAGATCAGTATCTGACATCTTCTTAGCAAGAGCTTAAACTTTGTTGCATTTATAAAATCAGATCTCAAAATAGAGAAATACATTGTAATATAATGATCTAATAACATTTCAGTTTTTAACTACAAGAGTATTTATTCAAACATGGATTTATATAAATGTAAATAATGTATCTATTAAGCTTAATGTCAAATCATGAACAAAAATACACTGACTTTGAAAGCCTTGGTAGTTATTTGGATGGGATGGGAAAGGTTACAAGAAACTGTGACCAAGTTGACTGTGGTTGGTCAGTTTGAGTGTGCAATTCAGTTTTGAACACAAGAGGTTGAAACATTAGGAACCTCACTCAGGACATACTGTCTGGAGAATACGTAGGTAACAGGCTGAGATGGGGCAAAGAAGATACAGGTACAGGCAAGACTGGTATTCATTAGAACATACAGCGTAGATGAAGCCTTTGGGAAAGCCACCATCTCCCAGGAAATGTAAGGAGTGTGAAGAGTGAAAGGCAGACATGAGAACTGTGACACAACCAAAGAGCAAAGGTTACAGCAGTGAGAGGAAATGAAAGGAAATCAAGTCCTAGGAACACCAAGAGGGTATTTTTAGGAAATGGAGCCCTGCTATCCAGATGTAGCATAGAAGTCAAGAAAACTGAATTCTGATGGGGCTGTATTTGTCTAAGAGGGCTTCGTTGAGAAGGGCTTCACACTTATTCCTGGGAAGTGGTGGGCAGATGCAGAGTTTGTTGTGGACTGAGGGATTTCTTGGTGTATACAACTTGCAGTGTTAAAATCAAATCAGCTCCAGAAAACTGGAATGTTGATCATGCCACCAACTCAAAAGAGTAAAGGTTTAAGTAGCCAGTGAGATAAAGGCAAAAAGTGGTTGCTTTTTCTAAGAGACTTGACACTTAAGAAAGAGTAGATAGAGTTTTACTTAAGAGGAGAAACAGTTGAAAGTTGAGGTTTTCATTTCATGATTTCCCCACATTTTTCTTTTTTAAAAAATCATGTTAAAGAGTTATTTCTAGACGGTAAGGGGAAAGTGAGGAAAGGGTGATGCCGAACCAGGGAATACAAATGGAGCAATATCTTTCCACAGAGTAGAAGGGGCAAGATCCCAGACCATGAGAACAGGAAAAGGCCCTACCAACTGCAGAGGAAGCTGAAGAGGGTGTGGGGAAAGGAGACTACAAGTGGTCCCTATACTGTGAGGACCTGATAGTGCACTGATGGGTAGGTGACAGCGTGAATGAAGATGGGCAAGAGATGGAGCATTACAAGGTTACTGGATGATACCAACACGTATTTGAGGAATCAAGAATGCCCAGCTGAGAGAATAGTAAATACATGCTCTACACAAACAACTATCATTACCATCTAGGTAGGATTCCAGACCTGTCTGGTCACACAATTAGAAGCACATTATATTTCTGGTCATAAGAAATAATCTATCATTTCAGTTAAAAGAATTCTTTATGGACAATTATGTGGCTAAAAAAGAGATAACATACAGATTGAAAAATAACAGGAATGTATGCATATTGTTTTGGCAAGGTTATTATGAGCATTACTGTATTACAGCAAGCAACATGATGAGGCACGGATATGTTCAGATTGGAAAGCAACAGACAGAACATGAACCAGAGATGGGGAAATCTGGGGGGCTGTGTAAGGGTCCAGTACAAACCCTTAGCAGACTAGACAGCAAGATGGTTTAACATAATGCCCAGCCCTGACTACCAGATACTGCCACCTCCCTCTGGGTGGACTTTTAAAAACACCCTATGACAAATCCTCAAAATAATCCTCTGCGATAGACTACTCTCCAGTCCGTTAGTGGGAAAACCACAATTCAGTATAATAAGTAACCTGGTTTTGGCTAGCAAATTAGCAGTGATAAGATGTACTTAATTGATTTAGTCCTTCCCTCTGCCTTTCTGATTTCTTACTACTAATAATAACACATACATTCAGGCCTCTATAAAAATTAAATATGTGTGAAGGTGCCAACACCCCATAGGCAATGCACTTGTATTTGTCTGGCATAGTGGTCCTTTGAGTACATATGACAGTGGGGACAGATTTTATTATCACAATAAGGCAGGGGGTAGGTACTACTGGTAACTAACGAGAAGAGCCCAGGAATGTTGCTGAACATTCTACCATGCACAGAGTGGTCCCCACAGTAAAGAATGATTGTGCCCCAATCTTCAAAGCACTGAGGTTGAGAACCTTTGCTGATAGCACAGGGCAGGGTCCTGGGAACCATGCATACAAATCATAGCAAGACCACAAATGACAGGCCTTGGTGTGAGGATACGCCTAGATCTGGACCCATTCTTGCTTTTAACAAGTTTTGCCTGTCTGAGCTCAGCTTTCAAAGGAGCAACTGCCTCCTGGGACCATAAAGAAGCTCAGTAAGCTGGTGCTTAGTTTGTACCTGCCATACAGAAACATGCAATGTTGACATTATTACAAATGAAAGGCATAGCCAACAAGAGACCAGGAGAGATGTACCTTGTTTGTATTAGATAGGGTAAGAAGAAAACTGAGCATTCCAGTGACACTAGAACCTTAGAAATGGTGTTATCAGTGTGAAATTGTACCCCAGATTGCACTTAAAATAACTTGGAAAAATCAGATGCTGTCAGCACAATGAAATAAATCACTTCGTACCACTTTGAAGAAATCCAAACACCAGGTTTCTGCTGTTGTGAAAGTTCTTTTCATCATTACCCTGACTCACTGTTGTATCTCTGGTAATGTTTTAAGGAAAGTTTTGTTCGGAGGAAGGTGATTTAGAGCATTTAAAGTAATGCCTCCCATAGCTTGATACATGTTTTATAAAACAATTCCTTTCAAAAATACCTCAATGCTTATGATTTTTGCAAACACTGGCCCTGCTTTTAAATCTCTGCAGCAACAGTTTTTTTTTTTTAAACTTAATCACATTCTTACAACTTCCCTTGGCTGCCTTGCACAGAAGCAGCAATCAGTCTACATACACACATAACGCACGCACACAAGCACGCATCCACGCGCCGCTCAGCTTCTGAGGGTTGGTCTCACATCCTCACCTGTAGATCTGTACTAGCAGCCCACTCCTTTGCTCCAGCTGCTCACTTCCCACACGGGCTTTCTTCCTCAGCCTCTCAATCATCCTGATGGCGCTATGAATCCTGTCAGCCATATTCATGACTAGTTAAACTATTTCTCTGATTTGCCCCCAAGTCTCAATCCAGGCCCCGTCCGGATTCCATTGTCAGACTTGTTATTCAGGAAATGGAAAGTCTCCTTTGGAAACTTCGTATCCTTCATTATTCTAGTCTATCCTGGTGAGATGCAAGAAGTGAGGAAGCACAGAGGCAGAAACTGAGGGCTAGGGGAGCAGGGATGTGACTGTGGAGAGGTGACAAAGTTGTAAAACCCAGAAGCTATCATAAAACCAAAAAAATGTGTGAGAATAACTTGCCTAATAGTTTCCACGTGCAGAAGCCATCTATATGCTTATATAAAATACACACACATAATCTCAAGACATTTTGTATATTTGACTTCTGAATCACCACAGCTGCCAGGTAAGAAGTGGAGGACTGTCATCACTCTGTCTTCTGTAATAAGGAAACTTAGGTGCAAAGAGGTTGCCCTGTGCCTTTTCCACCTGGCAAACCAGAAAAGGGAAAAAGAGAAATAAACTCCAGACTTAACAATTTTTTTCTCCTAACCCTGAGATTTGCAGAAACGTGGGTGGGGGGGGGGGGGGGGGGTGAGGCCGGAGAAAGAACCAAAGCTTAAGTTACACACAGACAGATAACAGTAGAAAAGGTGGAAAGCAGAAAAAAAAAATCTTAAAAATGACTGACAAGAAAGTCACACCCTGGGCTGGGGCTATAGCTCAGCGGTAGCGCACTGGCCTATCACGTTTGAAGCCTTGGGTTCAATCCCCGGCACGTTGAAAGGGAATAACCATAATGGCACTGTCACACCTACCAAACAGAAAGAAAGGGAAAGGAAAGGGAAGCCCACAGTGAAACACAGCCTTGTGTCCTCAGCTACACATCACCAAGCTAAGCTGTGAGACCTATGGAAACACTAAGACTCTTAAGAAAACACTCAATCGATGACAATATACCTCCTCTCCATTCTTTTCAATGTAGGCTTTAATTCAGAATGTACTCAAGGGAAGGGACCAGGGCACTGTTTAGACTGGGCTGTGACACTGACCTTGGTTGAACGGAGACCAGAGAGATGGCTACAGTTTCTGCCTCTTGTTCTTGACCCTTCCACCACCCCAAACCCCGTAAGTTCCCAAACTCTGTGTCTTGGGGTTTTGAGGGCTCTTCAGGTCCAAGCATCTACACGCCACTTAAAATACAAAACAAAATAAAATTTGAGGCTGTGACTGAAACAACCTTAACTCCTCTTCATCTCTTTTCCTGAAGTTTCTTTTATTAAGTGATTTTTTTTAACTCCCATTTCGTCCCCATGTGCGTTTTCCCATCTCCTGGGGGCTCAGGGGAGACCCACAGGAGTCTCAGCCCTTAATAGGAGGGAAGGGCACCCCGCAGTCTGTCTTAGGGCGTCCCCTCTTCCCCTGGCGCCCCTTCCCAAACCCCGTCCGGTCTCCAAAGACTGGAGTACGTCGCGCGGGTGTAGCCCGCGCTGTAATCATAGGACACCTGAGGGGGCGGCGGCAGGGAGCAATCGGGGAAGAAGGGGGCGAAGGAGGCCAAGGCGGGTGCATCCTCCCCTCCCGGAGAGTCCGCGGCGGTGGGGTACAGGGCACGCAATGGCTCGTTCAAGGTCACCGCGCCTCGGGAGGCCGCCACAGGCGGCTTCTTGGTCTGCGGACAGCTCGGCGGACTCCAGGGCTCGGGGTACAGGAGGTTCCCCACCATCGCGGGCGGCGGCTCAAAGAGGCCGGACTCCAGCTCCAAGGGTCCGCGCAGGACGGCGGCCCCGGTGGGGAACACGTCGAGGGGCTCGGTGGCCAGCAAGACGCCCGCGTCGTTGCCCGCGCCGTATTCTGGCGCCAGCAACTCCAGGAACTCCACGGCCTCGGCGCCTTTCTCCAGGTCACCCAGGCTCACGGCCGGCCCCGACGGGCCGCAGCCG